AGAGAGGCAGGCATGAGAGATAAAGAGATAAATAGGGTGGGTTCTTAAATGCCAGGCCAAAGAATTAAAGTGGACCTGACAATAGCTGGCCATTACGAATGCTGAGCAGGGAGGCTTCATCACAGGAGCGTCTGGACTCCCATTCAAGTCGGTAGATTTGAGCAGTCAAACTATCTTCTCCTACTCCAAGATTCTATCGGAATTCTAGAAAAATCATAAAAATGTATATAAACAAACTCACTACAAAGTAGAAAAATGAGGAGAGTGGTCATTAGTAGACCAAATTTATCATCAAATTTTTGGAAGACAGGAAGGGTAGAGAAGAGCTATATGTCTAGACCTATTTCCTAGTTCCTATAGACTAGTATATCCACCTACCTATTCCACATCTCTACTTGGATGTCCAATGAACATCTCAACCTCACATCTTCAAAATTCATCTCTGATATCCCCCAACAAAACCTACCCTACTTCTGCATCTCAGTTAACAGCAACTCCATCCTTTCCACTAGCTTAGGTTAAAGAGCACGAGTCCTCCCCTTCTCTCATACCCCACCTGCTAGTTTACTGCAACAGCCTCTTAACTGGCTTTCTTGTTGGGCTGCTTCTATTTGTGTTTCTCTGTAGTCTAGTCTCAAGAGAGCAGGCAGACTGACTCTGTGAAAATGTTAAGCCAGATCACTCCTATCAAAATCACCCAATGGTTCCTCACTTCTCTCAGAATAAAAGCTAAATTCTTTACAATCGCTTGCAAGGTCCTGCATGGTATGATACGTTTCTTTTTACTTTTGCTAATATGACTACTAGAAAATTTTAATTACATATGTGGTCCATATTATATTTCTACTGGATAGTGCTGGTCTAAAATATATGGTTAAAAATATCATCAAGAATACAGAACAAAAAAGACAGGCAAAAAATGAGAAAAGATAAGGATCATAGGGAAATAGAGCAGGAGGTCCAGCCTCTGACCAATAGGAGTTCTTACAAAAGAGCACAGAGAGATCAGAGATGGAGATGGTTAAATAAATAAATTTTTTTTAAAAATTAAGAGTTGTGGATAAGTCTTCAAATGGAAAAAGTCCACTAAGTATTGAGCTAAATAAATGGGGGGGGAAATACAAAACACCAAAAATCATATCTAGTCACATCTTTGTGAAAACTCAGACCACCATGGTTAATCAGAGGGTTTAAGAGGATTCTAGAAGGGAGGAGATCACCTACAAACCTAAAGACAAGGATTTAATGACAGTTATGGCAAGACTGCAAATGTATAAATTTTCAAAACAGAAAAATGACATGCCTGTCAAAAGCAGGTAGTAGAAGGGAAGAAAAGAGATAGGAGGATGTGCAGAACTACTGTGGTCCTCTTTCGAGGAAGGAGTTAAAGGATAGCATCTAAAGTTAAGACAAAGGTTCCATGTGAAAAAGAAACCAAGAGCGAAACTAAAAATAATAACTACTAATAACTGGCAGGGGAAGTGAAGAATTCTTCACTTTTCACACTTTACTTTTCACAGTGGAGAGTCAACAGCTACTAGCTATAACTTGATTAATCAAGAAATAGAAACATAAACCTATCATTCAGCGCTGTGGCGGAAGTCATCAGAAGTACTGAAAGTAGAAATGGTTAAAAGCGATTAATTCTGGGGATTCATGAGGGTGGGGCACAATCGTGCAGCAGACCCTCCCCCATTTAGGCTCTCCTCTATGGTTTGAGACTTTCTTTAAGAAAAACGAATCTGGCAGTAATAAAGTAGGAATAACTGAAAGGGATCTAGGTTAAAGAAAGAAAAATCGACTAGAAAACTACAGCAGTACATAAGAGAATAAACACTGAAGAAAGCTAGTAATGAGAATGTCAGAAGAGGAAATCCACCAGGCTTTTGGAGAAGAAAGAAATAACAAGGTATACTCGAATAGAGATTGTGAGTGAAGATAATTACAGACTTTCTAAGCTGAAACTCTGGGAGAAATATTAAAGAGAAGAGGAATGTACACTAAGAATGAAATCATAAAGGGTTTAAATTGAAGCATCAATAGCATACCCAAACGGATGAACTCTACAACAGGAATTCTCATTGGGGATCCATTGTTGGAATTAGGGGCTCTGTGACCCCCAGAAATGGTACGCAAGCTTCTGCATTTAAGTGCACACCTGCGTACACAATCACACACACATATCTGAAGGACTGGGGGTCCAGGTAGAAGAGGGCAGTAGTTCACTGCTTTCACCAAATTCTCAAAAGGATCCATAACACTACTCCATTTAGCTGGAAATATGGGTCTGGATCTCCCACAGTGGGTGATCACAGCAGAACCATAGATCTGGAAGCCATCAGCATAAAAGTTATGAGTTAAGAGAAAACGACAACATCCAATCAAATCATCAATTTATCAGAGTATACTGTGTGCAGAAAAGAAAAAAAGACGGTTAAGTCCAAAGCTTTATATAAGAAAAAGAGGTACAGGAAAGGATAGAAAGGGACAAGAGTTGGCAAAAAGAAGACTTGGGAGCATCAAAGAGAAGAAAGAGAAGTGGCAGACGTGGACTGAGAGAAATTTAAACCAGAAGTAAGTCAACGGTGGAAGCAACATGTCCAGCAGATTTGCAGAGACACAAAGCAGATCTCAAAAGATTAAAAATGAAATGATGGAGAGTAAAGAGAAGGAATGGCAATGAAATTAATATTGAAAGAGAAAGAAATTGATTGGTGCCTTGTGGAAGGTTTATCTAGAAGATAAGAGTCTGTGCACGGCTGCGGAAAGAAAATAATTTAAAATTTCATACCAATTTTTCAGAAATTTGGATTTCTTCAAAATGACTGAGTTAGAGCCTTCAACTAAACAAATAGGTAATATAAACAACATCTCCAATCTTCAAACTCATAAGTATCTACTTACATAGAAACAGAAAAACCTCAAGTCCAGATGAGCCTTGCTAGGGTAGCACTTTGATAGGAGAAAGCATATACACGAGGCATGGAGTTTTCATAACAATTACTGAAAATTCACTCAATACTCGTTTCAGCTACAATCGCAAGCTGCAAATTCTTAACCCTCTGTGCAGTAGTTCAGCTGCCCGGGACCCTTACCAAGCCAGCAGTACCTCCGACAGTGTCTGTTTCTGTATTGTCCTGGCCTCAGGCAACTGTCTCAGGGACTACCTGCTTGCCCACTCTATATTACCAGAGATTATCTATTAGGTTTGGGTTCTCTCCTGGTTCCTCCTAGTTTTCTACAAATGTGTCACTCTCAATAATACTATGATCATTTTGTATTAACTACTTCTCTGTTTTTGTGTGTGCAACAACAGTAACATCACAATTTCTAACTCTTGGAATTATTCTGGTATATTTAAAACTCTCCATATGGAACTGAAATTATATCTTTTAAACTTTCCTGATTTCTACAGAAACTTAATTTATTTCTGTTACAGCATCACTCAAAAGAGTTGGACAGATTTTCACCAAATTTGGAGGCTATATCCAGAGTGATCTAACTGAAAATACAGGCTGTGACAAAAACAAAATCATTTTGGGAGATCCTGGAGTGCCTTCCTCGAGAGCTAAGTAGTTATACACCAAAGCAGCTGACACGGAACCATAGCAAGAGGTGCTTCTGGCTGTCTGTCACGGGAATATGACACATATATTAAAACACAGAGAACTTGAAGAATGTTTCAAATGTGAGATCCAAATCAAAGGTCACAAGATGAAATCCTGGCTTGCCATGGAGTGAATGCTTCTCAGTTGGAAAAATCCATCTATACAATGGTTATCAATCCTCCAGGACAAAGCAGGGGTGCCCTACTAGTGATAAAAAGCAACATCAACATCTCCAAAAAGATTTCATTTGTTTAAAACAGGACATCTGGTTTAACTAGCTCAATTTTAATTACCTGAATTTAACCTGATTTTTATAAAACTATTTTGTTACAAAGTAGCTTATAATTCAGAGACTGTATGCTAATTCAGAAAAAACTACCCCTAAATGAGGCTGTATTATAATTTCAAATGTATTTCTCAACTGCACTGAAATAACAATAATGTGACTGATCACATTCAACCAGCAGTTTAGTCATAAACAGAATGATTTTGTATTCCATTACTGAACCCTATGGTAATATCCCAAGATCAACGCCTTATACAAACAGCCAACAGTATTTCAACTTTCTAGTTAGTCATGTGAAAGCCATAACGATCACAGATTGATTTATAAGTACTATAAAAACAAGACTCCTTGAAATGTAGAGACATTTTCTATGCTGTTAAGTGTATTTAAAATATGTTAGACTTACACAAGCACAATTTTCACCAAAAAAGCAGATAGGAAGTTTTAGAATATCTTCTGTCCAGCATAACAACAACCACTTGCTTATTAACGGTGATTCCAAAACTTAATATAACAATAAAAGTTCTGACTTTTTTTTTTGGTGAGGAGATCAGCCCTGTGCTAACACCTGCCAATCCTCCTCCTCTTTTTGCTGAGCAAGACTGGCCTTGGGCTAACATCCGTGCCCATCTTCCTCTACTTCATATGGGACGCTGCCACAGCATGGCTTGACAAGCGGTGCGTTGGTGCGCGCCTGGGATCCGAACCAGTGAACCCCAGGCCGCCGCAGCGGAGCGCGTGCACCTAACCGCTTGCACCACCGGGCCGGCCCCTAAAAGTTCTGACTTTTAAAAGGCTGACAAGACATAGTCTACTTTCAACATTAGAATGTTCAGGGCTGGCCCCGTGGCTTAGCGGTTAAGTGCGCGCGCTCCACTGCCGGCGGCCCGGGTTCAGATCCTGGGCGCTCACCAACGGACTGCTTCTCCAGCCATGAGGCCGCGTCCCACATACAGCAACTAGAAGAATGTGCAGCTATGACATACAACTATCTACTGGGGCTTTGGGGGGAAAAATAAATAAATAAAATTATAAAAAAAAAAAAAATGTTCATACTTTGGTCTTCAGTAGAAAGAAAAAGTACCAATAATAACTCGTGAATTTACCTTCTTTGAATTTCCAATTCTTCTTGTGATGGGCCATTTTGAACTTGGGCAGGCAGTTGTGAATTCTGTCTAGGCAATGTTGGCCCTAAAAAGGGAGGAAAACATTATAGATGAACATTATCTTTATATTTAGCTGGATAGAGGAGATAAAATCATGAGAATAACAAAAAACCATCACATATTTACAAATGTTCCTTCTTTTTGTTTAGCAAAATAAAATATAAGCTTCACATAACACAGAGCAAATGAAAGACTGCAACATAATACTGTCATCATCTCCATAAGGCTTACTTGAAACAAATGGAAAACATCAACAATAAAGGAAAAATAAACATTTATATATGAAGAGCTTGAGTAAATCAAGTGTTTGATGAGCATCTGAATAGGCACCTAGGCTCGACATTTTCTAAGACAATGAGACATTCTCTTTGGGGGACTTATTCATGAAGTGGAGAGGGAGAACTGAAATGAAAAATCAGAATTCAAAAACTCACCTAAATAGAACACTGGAAATGAAAAACAGGAGAGAGAGAGCATGAGAACCTCATTACTAGACTGGCGACTGCTAACGCATTTATCAAATCTGCCCAATTTAAGCTGCCGTTCTTATTTAACAGCCTGGCATTGCCAGAACTGGTGAAAACCAACATTTGCTAAACTTCCATATACAATTCACCTCCTGATCTTAATTTTTAATGCAACAGAAGTAATCTTAATAACTTTTCATTTGGGGTAAAGAAAAAAAAAAACAAAGAAAACCAAACCCTGCATTCAAACCAACATGATTCTGTCATGAGAAACTAATGACCATCCATTCCCACATCATCATGTACAATGCAGATCCATTTTTAGCATCTTATAAAGAATGCCACTAATTTATGGGACCTTTTAATGTCATTGGATATAAAAATTAAATGTGTCATAAAATGAGATAAATAAATACTGGACCTAATATACAATGCCTAGGGTTACAACAGAACAATCTTGAAATCTAACGCAGTAAACAGGAGAATACAGAAATAGTAGTTATCTTCCACTCTTGGAGAGAAATATATGAGTAATGATATGCTGTACATATTTGTGAAAATTCTAGTGTGCCAGCAAATGCCCCTAGCAGATATTTTGAAAGTGTTCTGTAGACCACTAGTATAAAAAACAGTGAATAAATAAATGCTCTGTGTACTACAGCAAATTCTCGTAATCTATGAGTTAACAGCACAAAGTATCTATTTTATGCTAGTGGAGTAGACTTCACAACTAGAAGGATAAGGTTCATTAGAATGTAATACAGTACTACTATATCCCAAGGGCAGAAAAGTAAACAATTTGGTCTGAACTTACCTACTAATTTTTTCCTCATCTCTTTACACATGTTTTTAGATTAATCATTTAATTTGTCCTCTAAAGACAAATTAGATGACAAACTGCAGTGATATATCTCATTAGATTTCCTAAAAGAGTGCTATTTTGAGAACCACATGAAGGAAATATAAAAATATATTAATCCCATGTAATTAGTAACAACAACAACAACAAAATCAAAAATCTTTTTAAATTAAAATTAAATACACACTTAAAATGTTTACATAAATGAAAATATAACTTGTCTAGTCAACACACTGGAATTCTTTCCTTCTTCCAGAAATTAACATGATGTGAAAACAGACTGTCATATTAAGCCATACACTAATGCTTAATACTTTACAGGGAAAAGATATCTCATTTCTTCTGGCAGAAGGAGGGGGATATACAAGGTGGGAGGGTAAATTTGAGAAAATATAAACTATTCGGGTGAAGTATTTTATGTATCTAAAGTTATGTGTATCCAAAAATATTAAATGTGAGCATTTAGCATAGGCAACTCACAAGACCCTTATGGTTTAACTATTTTTTTAAGTAATTTTTGTGTATTTAAGTGAAAACCTCATGTTGCTCAAATAATTAAACAGCTGGATGTCAGCTTAGACTTGTTTGGCATCTGTCTCTAAGAATAATGCAATGGCACTACTCACATCTAGGGCAGGCATTATATCTCAATGATAGTATTAAAAGAATTCACCAATTAAAATATACCGATGTCAGTTTTAACTCAAATATATAAATTCAAGAAAAAGATGTCAAAATTTCAACTCAATCCCACTGATTTTATTAAAGAGGTTTTTCAAAAAAAAAAACTAACAGAAGCTTGACATAACACAAAAAAATCTGAATGAGAAAACAGTATCTTAGCAATTTACAGAAACTATTTTGGACTTTTTAAAAAAAATTTACTCAGCAAACTTGTTTTAAAAATATGGGCAGTATTTTCTGGCTGATATCATTAATTACAAAAATAATTTGCTACAGTTTATTCACGTAGCTGAGAAGTAAAGAAAAACTTCAAGGAAGACCTTTTTAAAGTAGAGGGAATTTTGATCCAAGAACAACTCCTAAAATTCTTTTCTACATGCTTCTTGGTGATAACGGCCTATTTGTCTTTCCATAGACATTCCTTAAATGGGGGGCAGGAGAGGAGAGAAGCCTTCCCATTGGCATTTTCTCACATCTATATTTAATCTGGTTGTTTTGTTCGTTTCTTCTTCATCAATATTGTCAAGTCACAATAATGAGCACAGTGAAATTCATGTGCTTTTAAAAAATAATATAAATAGACTGTAAGCATTAAATAAAAGAATTCTAGGTCAATTATAAACTTCAGGTACACAATTACATTTTTCCTTCTTGTCAAACATTCTACTGGGTTATACAATTGGTAGATTATACCAAAGGCATCACACACAACACGAAGCAGCATCTAAGATTAAGCAAGGCTGTCAGCTGCCATCGTATCGTCTGGAATATGACTATTACTTACTTCACATAGGTCATACTCCTAATTGAGTATCTGTGTTCTCATAGAACACAAAAGAGGTATTTTTCTAACCAGCGAGCAAATGCCAATATTTTAGGAGCATGATATGGTGGTTAACAGCTCTCTTTTGGAAAAAAAGAGAAGAAACAAGGGAACCCGCTCTGCTCCAAGTATATTATCATTAAGAACAGTAGCTATTCGAGGGTTAGTTTTCTCTGTTTCAGTACCATGAGCCAAAGACAACGGCAGATCTGAATTTGTCCTGGCTAGAATTCACATAGCAAAGTATGTTAATTACTGTTTCTAACAAAGAAAATGTGTCCATGTCACTGACATGGCATCTTATAAATGATGGAAATCAGAATGGAGTATCTCTCTAAACCAGGAATGAATGGCCATTTCAGTCTTGGCTTCAATATTGAGTTTTGGCTAAAGCTCATTTCACTTAACTGTCACATTTTAATTTTCACAAATAGAGTTTCACACTTAGCCACAGACTATTTAAAAACACAGGACTAAAAGACAAATAGGTGTTATTATACACAATACAATCAAGTTTAAACTTATTAATGTGGTAATCGCATTATTTGTACACAGTTAAATCAATTAAAGGTAGTAATGGGGGCAAATCGGCTTTTTAATGCATTATTAAGGCCAAATCAATCTTTTCTCCACAATTGTGTAAACTGTATCTATTATGCTGCATGTAGAACTCAACATGTTATGTAGCAAAGTATAGAACATCAAGTAGGTTTTCAAAAGGAACTAAAGAGTCCTAATAACACAAATACAAATAATCACTCATAGCTAGTTCAAAAGATGGCCTGGAGGATCCCCCAGGAGGAGGCAGAAAAATCAGAAATAAAAGTCACTGATTAAACACTTAATCTGCACTGAGTAATTGTGGAATCTGGGAAGGAGAAGGGGGATTTACAAAGAGCAGCACAATAGGCTTGCTGCTCTAACTGTGTCACCTGGAATAATTGGAAAATATAACTTTAGGTGATTAAGAAATACATTAGAATTTTCATTTTTGGAAATTTATAGCACATGCTTCTTTGCCTAGACCAGCAAGTACATAAATTTTAAAATAACTCTCTTTAGAGGTAAATAAACAGTATCAGTCCTACTGAAGAATCACATCAAAAACTCTGAGTCACATGCATAAAGTACATAAACACAGCTGAACTGTTTATGTAAAATTTTAGCAGTCTATCATTTTATAATTTTCTCTCTCAAAATAATCTGGTCAGTCAAGGTATACGGGAGTCAAAAAGGTATATATGAGTCAAAAAAAAAAGAACCTAAGATTTAAAAGTCACTTTTTGAACTTGGATTTTCAAAACAAAGTTTTAGAGTCAAATGAGGATAAAAGGAACTCAGACAAAGGTGTGTGTGTATGTGTATACATATATAGATATATCCTTGTGTAAGGACAAGGATATGCATGTAACTGATCAGCTGTAATTTGGGGTGGCTAAGTGACATATATCTGGTCTGTCCCTGCAAACAATATATATATATGTGCACACATGTGTTTATGAGAGTAAGTGTGAAAGAACACACTCCATGAGCCTAAACTCACTCCTAAGCCACAGATACCTAAACTACTCAATAAAGGAGCCTGTCGATCAGAAATCAGACTATTAAAGAAGGAATAGCTTTCATCTATCTGCCTCACAACACGTACACCTAAAAATTAATTCAGGTTAAGCAAAAGCTCCCTTCCAATAAGGCACATTCACATTCCCCAAATCACAGCATAAGATGGATCTATTTTTTTCCCTTAAATTCTAAATTAAAAGACTGCTTTCAAACAAAATAGCTAAAAACAAAAATAAACAAAAACCTCTCTCATTCGTGCTGGAAGACGTGAGCAAGAATTCGTTTTTTTAAGATCCCACTTCTAACTAAATCCTCACTAAGAAGCCAACTCAAAAGCTGACCAAATCACCTACACAACCACAACAAATATCACAACATAGGACAGGAGCTGGCTGTATATCCCCAAAAACCACACACCAGACTATGGCCTAAGGAAACAAAGGTTATGGAAATGTGCAAGTCGTATGTACCACAGCTTGAAAAAGGAATGTAAACATAATGTTGCTTACCACAGAAAATACATCGCAAATTAGTGCTGTCCTGGGTAGCAGTAACCTTGCTCTGGGCTGCAACAGACACCTTGGTGTTAGAAGCTTCAAAGGATAGCGGGGCCATCTGAAGAATTGCAC